GATTCCTTTGTGAGGCATAAGTTTGCATGCATACACTCTCAAGATGCAAACGACCCTCGCACGGCATGTGTACTCTTCCTCATGATCATCTCCTACCTACCACTGTCCTGCTCATAGCGTAGCATCAAAGCTATGATTTCATAGAAGCGTAGCATCCACCCTGCATCTCCGGGATCTCCGCAAGGAATCTTCAATTTTGCAACAGCGTCCCATGCAATCCGCCAGCTACGTTTGCACCAGGTTCGCCGTCACGTCTGGCTTAGCGGCGGACTTTTGACCTCGGGTTGACCTGTCCCAGGTGTCCGGTCCGTTCTTGACCAGCAGGATCTCGTACAGCAGGCTGACGGGCCGCTCCACGCCCGGGAACATGAACCGCTGCCTCGCCACCTTGTTGTAGTCCCACTGGACCACGTTGAAGCCGACCCGCCGCAGCAGCCCGACTGCCCGGCTCGCAGTCCGATAGAAGTCCATCTCCGGCCGCGGGTCGAGCCGCAGGTGGACGTCCAGTCCGATCTGCTCCACCGCATCCAGCACGAACTCGCCGCTGCCGTCCAGCAGCTGCTGCGACAGCATGTCCAGCTCGCTGCCCTCGATGTCCAGCTGGAGGTAGCTGATAGGCCGGCCGATGTGGCCCAGCATGCGCACCACCTGGTCCAGCGTGTGGATGTGCCACCCGTTGACGTTGGTGTGGTTATTGCGCCCGACGCCGATCTGGTGGAAGGTGACGCCGGCCGGCTGATGCTGCTTCGGCAGGTCCAGACGCGGGCTGAAGGCGTGCACCTCGCAGCCCAGCTGCACCATGGCCTCAGCGAAGCTCCACTCGGCCTGCACGCTGAACGCATAGACCAGACACTGTTTGGAGGTGGCCAGCCGCATGGGCGGGTCCAGACAGGCGAACCGGTCGCCCAGCTTCAGACAGCCGGCCGACGTGACCGCGCCGCCGAACTTCAGCAGCCGTTTACAGGAGCCGGTGGGCTTCTCAGCCCAGTCGAAAAGCCGACGGAACACACTCTTCTCCGGCTCCGAGAAGCTCCGCTGGCTGGCAGAAGAGCGGGCCCTGCAGCGGGAGAAAGGGGTCGGGTCAGCCCGGGAAGTGGGCGCCGCCACCCCACCAGCCGGTGAGGAGGCGCGGATTTCGGAGCAGGCGACTGGAGCGGCTCTGCGGAGGGCCGGGTCTGCTGGCGCTGTATGAGGGATGACATGTGACCATCTAGATCGCGTTCTGCTTACGGAAGGCACAGCAAGTTATCAATGAAATAGATTACCCAACACGGAGAAGGTGACGAGTTTAAATTCATAATTGTTCATGGTTTTTAAGACTGTGCACGTTCACACCTAACAAGTATGTAATCATCTGGCACAGCAGCAGCGCTCTCTTCGCTGTTGCTGACTCACGTGAAACAGCTGAGACCAGTAGAGCTGCCGGGAGGCACCGAGGGGGGCGGCGACGGCAGCGGCGCCGCCGCAGGCTGTGCTGGTGCATTTGCCGGTTGTGCCAATGCCGCCGCCGCTGCCGCCGCGGGCTGCGCAGGGGCCGCCGCGGGCGGCGCAGCGGGGGCCGCCGCGGCAGCAGGGGCCGCCGCGGCCTGCGGCGCCGGTTGGGCTGGCGGCGGGGTCGTCTCTGGCGTCTCGGCGCTCGCCTGAGCCGGCTCCGTGGCGGCCGTGGTGCTGCCCGTGACGCCCTCGGCCGTCGAGCCAGCCACCAGCGGCGCCTCACGCTTGGCCGGCTGCGCCTGGTCGGCGCCGACTTCTCCCCAGATGTCGTCGGTGACAAAGGACGGGTCCTCGGCCGGGATGTAGGGCACCTCGTCCGGGATGGCGCCCGGCTCGAGGCTGACCGGCTCTGGCATCGGCGGCGGCCGCGGCTGGCGCACGGCCAACACCATGAAGAACGCTCCCCACACTACCAGCGTGGCAGTGACCGTGGCCCGTTCCATGAAGGAGCGTGGCACCCGGTACGCACGCCGGACACTCTGGGGAGACGGGCGACGCGTCAGCAGAAGTCCCCGCTCTTCATGTACCAGTAACTACCGATGGGTGTGATGGGGTCCTCGTCCTCGCTGCCCCGGGACAGATGACATTAATGTTGGACGGTTTTCGTGTGAGATGGAATTAGATAGGATTCCATTGGAATGCGACCATGGACTTAAGGAACTCAATTCGAGCGGTTACTTTCACGATTCAGGTTACGCTAATGGGTTCCTTTGACCTGTTCCCATTGTTTGGCAGCGTTTTTTCTTCTTCTTTTTTGTCTTCCCAGTAGGTGTTCTGAGTCCTGGTTGGTCTGAGCAGTGATATCTACGTAATGTGCTACACGAACAGACAGGCACATTTATTTTGGCCAAACCTGAGCGGAAACATACGCGTCATGAGTCGTTATCTACGGCCGAGCCACATAACCGAGTTTCGAAACCAGTTCCGCCTCGAGCACTTTGGCAGAAAAGGGACTTAACGGTCCGTTTTCAGGGTCAATGACCCGCATGGCATTCACGATGGCATCCTTGGGATCCACCCAGGTCAGGGTTTTAAAGCTCTAGTGTCAATAGAAGGGCCACTTCTTGCGGCAGTTTACGGGCTGATGAGCGTCGTATGTTGAATAACAGGTTTGAAGACGGGTTCAGTAACCTAGGCGCGGAATCTGGTTACCTTCACGTATGTTGTTGTAGCCATTTGATGTCGGTGATGCGCAAGTAATTCACTGTTTGGAACGGTTCTGCGGTTAGTGCGTTTTCAAAATTCAGGTTGAAAAACTATCGCCAAAGATATAATTAAAATGTTTACGTCAGCATACAAAATATGTAATTATGTCATGCCCACAGTTGCTAGAAGAGGTACGATTATCGTCTGGTGGAAAAGCTGACGCAAACGGCCTCGCGCCGGTCCAGAAAACCTGGAAAAAATGAAGGGAAGTAGAAATATTTTGGTCCGCCCCGACGGCTCCGTTGTTTAGAGCGCCTGCCTTCCCTTCCATCCGCCCGTGGCGGGGCAGGTTCGAGTCGCTTTAGTCGCTCGCTTTTTGTCCTTGACAGGCATGGCCTGTGGCCGGCGGCAACGGCCGCACTAAAGGTCAGGTGACGTCAGAGGGCAGGACGGACCGTGCCGAGCATTGCGGCACGTTAAACTTTGAACGCCAAAGTCTGCCGTTGACCTGGAATTGCGCGGGTGGATGGTGGGGTCAGGGCTCAAACAAGCCATGTTCGGCGTCAGCTCTTGTTCCAGAAATGCATGCATTCGAAAGGTTTGGATTATTTTCTTTTTTAATCAAAGATTGATAGAGGAATTCCATAATGTGGTGCTGCGACAAAGGGATAAACGCTTTTACGCTTCGCTCTCCCTAAAGAGGAGAATTGGAGCAAGTAAGTCAATGTAATCACTGAAGACAGATTACTAATTTATACCCGAAAACCGAAAACAGTTTGTGATTCTACCAAATAATTCAGGAGTAATTATAACGTTGACTCTGCTGTACCGGTTGTCATCGAATATCTACCAAGAAATGTAACAAAGCGAATAATTGACGGAGAAACATGTACGCCACAGCACCTGTTGTCACTCACATAGATCGATGCTGACTTCGCATCAACAAAAAGAGGAAATCACCTGGTTCCAACGGCTTCATGGCCTACTTAGGACTCTTGTTTTATGCAAGTAGTGTCTTCTTTATACAGAAGTGTGTTGTACATGCAGGAAATCTCACTATCACTTACGTATCACCAGGATATCATCACGCTTATATGCAGTGCTGTCCAGCCAATAGGCTTTATCAAAGACAGGAAACCAGTATATTTCGTTATTGTACGTTGCAAAGCATATTCTCAGCAATAAATCGCCAATTAAAACGTATAGTGCACCACACCATACGGCCCCACAATCAGCATATCTCAAAGGGAACTCTATCAGCGATTGTCCACTTTCACAGTGAGCAGAATGCCTTGTTTCAATACGATCGACTCCAGTCTTTTAATCGAGCTATGAAGGAGACAAACACATTTCCTCAATGCCTGGCCTGTTTGAAGTAATGACCAATCTAAGCCTTCATCTGCCAATAAGCGGTGCTCCGTTCCGCCCTGCATATCGGCTGGATTGTGCCCCGCGCTGGGGACTCACAATTATTCCAACGTTTAGTTACTTTTCAGTTTCGTGCCGCCTCTCATCGCGCGGTATTGCCACACAGCCAACAGTGGCCAGTGTGAGGGGCCTAGACGATACGTTGATAAAACCAAGTGTCCTCCAATAGAAGTTAATGGGGACAACCCACCCCTTTAGTTACTAAGAATTTCGTTTCATATCTAGAAAGCAAAGTATCCCATAAATGAAAGGATATAAAACAATGGAAGCACAGACATCTCACACAAACGGGTAAAATAGCTGCAATCAAGTCCTTCATTCTGTCTAAATCAGTGCACATATTCCTGGTATAGCACGAAGCCACACACGTGTTCTGACGCGACCCTAGACGGTAGGCATGTCTATAGAAGCTGAACAAAACTCGCTCAATCACACAGATTTGATGGTTTGGGCATGATTCATTTCAACCGAATTATTCACAGAGTGTGAAGATTTAACAGGATCATTTCGGTCTAATTCTGTTGGTTTAAGCTGGCACATGGTTATATCCCTCACACCGAAGATCTTTTAACGGGCGATTCGAAGACAATTGAAAAGAATATAACCAATACTATGCGTAGAGGTTCTGGAAGAATGAATTGGAAGCATGGTCTTAGTTTTACGAATTGTATAAGCCTAACAACTTTAAAATAACTGGTGAAAAGATTAGTTTCGGATATTACCAAAGTTATCACCATCATGGTGAAAAAGAATGATAAATCGTGGTTTCAATTAAGAATTCCAGTTACAAGCTTTCTGCAAAAAACGAATAGAAAATAATGCAGCATACGGCTTGCCTTTTTTGTTCTAAATATCGTATAAGACGTAATGAAAACTTGACCGGACGTACTAAAAAGGTGAAATGCTAAATAACCAATGCCATATTCACTGATACCTTAAAGGGAATGTTTCTTATTTGAAGATAATGAAGCAAGCATCAGATTTGATGACACAAGTTCACTTATGATTATCGGTATACTTTCAAAGGGAAACGATTACGTGATCGCACATTCCACAACATTGATTGAGAACTTATTGATGACCTTTGTAGTTGGAAATGGTGCTCAATGACGCCAGATATGAACGATTCGACTATTATGTTTGTTTGGCCTTGATCGCCGCAAGGCTTACGGAATGGCAGGCTTTGAATGGCATTATTATGACGTCATGGGTGCCAAGGTAGCTTTGAAATATCGCGGAGCGTGGCCCAGAAATAAGAGGGGTTTAAGTCTTAAGAACGGCAGGGCTGTGAACTGCACAAAATGATCCTCAAGATTGCTATTTCATTTCAAAACCTCACTGAGAAGTGGAACACTCTTTAAGGGATTAACGCTTTAAGTGGAGACACCAAACTATCACAAATAGCATGATGCATAGCATAGTGACATTTAAGCAAAGCGTGTGCGCACAAAACAAACACCTTCACATACAAGCACACGTATGCGCATGTGCACCCACACGCGCATACAAACACACAGTACTGCGTGACGGGCCTGGCTGCATGTGACGTACATCCTTATGCGCATGCAAACAAATAGCCCTGCATAATGAGCTTGACTATATGTGGACCAGAATCACTTTCTGTTAGTAAAACGCATTCAGGAAATCCGTTGGAATATAGCACGATGCGTGGACGGTTGGGGCAGCAGATTCCAACTAATCCTTTCATGAGATGATTCATCGATGCAAGCACACCTGTTCCCGAAATAGAATATTAGCAGTTGAAAAGTGAGCAATGGGAGTGTCTTTAGTCTGCTTTCTTGTCCTCTTGATGGCCATATTAACCATTGCGTGACATTTAAATAGCTATCAAAAACATGATGAGACCTTTGCGTGCTGGAGAGTCCAATTTGTAGCATTTATTTGAAAACTGTTTCGCAGCACGCAGATAACTTTGATAAAGCTTTGATCATTCTAACATCGCTGAGCACGTGCGCACTTGTGGTTGCATGATCCAGAGATAAGCCTTTGTCCATCTGATGATCGTCGTGTGTGCTTGGGCTGGTTTTAGGTGCCACGTGCTACCTAAAAACAGCTAAAACTATGTCTCAGAACCCCATCCTACCCCATTATCATTACATTGAAGTACATATAAAACTTCGCCAGTTTGATTTGCTACTGTTGGAGAGAAGTGCAGGGGCCTGTTTTTACTGCAACCAATGGCATAAAGCAGTGCGTTCGAAGGTGAACATGATGTTATACTTAATGAAAGTCCCAGGACTATTTGTTATAATGGAATGGTAAGTGTGATAAGGTGTGGTAAAGTAACATCAAATCCTTAAACATTGGAAAAAGCTTAGGCAGTCATACAAACCGTTCGTAGGTGTCAAAGACAGGGCGAACTCACGTGGTCCGCATTATCAAACCTCTGCAGACATTAATATGTGCGTGAATAAACGTTGGCACTGAAAAATTCGAGATGGGCACGCAAAACAAAACAGGTCAAGCATTGCATTGTCATGTAATGTTTTCCGTCGTACAAGAAATTTCGCGCGTCGTCGGCACGCTTAGATAGTTGATAATGCAGGAAATTTTTGTTGAAATAAGAATGAAAGGAATTGGCAGTGTATTGGAAATGGTGTATTGCGTATTGGAAACATATTGGAAATTTGTGCTGGAAATCTTTAAGCTGTGCTCCCCTCACACACACACACACATACACTGTCAATTCCTATAGGTGCCCCTGACCACAGAAGTATGTACAAATGTCTTCACGATGCAGAGCTGCAACAACTGTAGTAAAAGCGTAATATAAGCGTCACTGGTGATACTAAATGACCGTGCGCCATGCATTTTTCGGTGTTTGGAGCAACCAAGATAGGGACGATTTTCCCCAGAATGATGGTGCTTCTGCCGTAAATCCTTTCCATTTTTGTAGCGCATTTCAGTATTTTCATAACGATTTTACTCTTGTGATGACTGGTGCCAGTCGTTGGTACGACACCATTCAGCGAACAACTGGCAGTCTATTAGCCCCGTGCAGCACACATCGGTCGCCGCCAACGACAGCGGCCTGCTGCTGCCTGGCGTGTGAGCACTCACCCCCGACCTGGACACCATGGCGCCGGTGTCGATCCGCACGTCAGCACCGTCTCCCACTGCCTGTGGAGCACCTTATCTCGGCCGATGGTCGACGCTGTCTCGGACCGCGCCGCCCGGCCGGCCACTTAAAGCGGCTCCGCCCCGTCTTGTCGTAACGGGACGGACGGGACGCCGTGTCGGAGCAAATGGGACGCCGTGCTTGGACAGGGGAACCCTGTGCCGGGGCAGGGGACGCCGTGCCGGGACAGGGGACGCCGTGCTGGGGCTCCAGCAAGCTCACCACAGACATTTTGCATGGTCTGTTTGTTAACTCTTCGAAAGCTGTGCTATATGCAATGACTTATTTCCAGACATGACGGCGGCTCACGAAGAAATGTGGTTTAAAATATTGTTTTGTGTTCTAAAACGCATCAAAAAATGCGTCAGCAATCATGAATGGCGTAAATATGCATGAACACATCTGTAACAAGTGTGCGCTTATGGTCAACTTTATCACTTTTATGAATAAGAAATTAACTTTTAGCTTTCGAGTTCATCGTGAACAGCACATACCAGCTATCTGACGCATGCAACATCTCTTCGAACGCTTGGGCGTCCAGCTGAGTACTGTCCGGCAGCTGAAGGCCTCTGTCCAGCATGTGCGTCCGCGCCAGCTTCAGCAGGTGAGGGGAAAACCCAGATACGCCTATGCGGAAATCCAGGTATAATTTTAGAGACACTCTTCATTGTTGGTGCAGAGCGATCATTTTATAGTGTCCCATTCCTCTACACCTTAGACCAAGCTCAAATGATTAAATATGCAGGTATGGGCACTGATGTTTCACTTCACATCATCGAGCACTGGCATGCGTAACAAATATCAGCGTAAATCACGTTTTCTGCCGAAAGGCAACACCAATGAGCTGGAAGAATGAGCACATGACTGCACAGCCTCTTCCAGGTAAGAGCACTCGCACAGGCTTTGCGGGGTGGGTGTGCCACTTCAGAGTCTGGTAGAGACATTGCATCAGCATTGACAACGTGCGGCGGCGAAGTTGAGGAGTCTGGCATTTGCGGTGGCAGCTAGCACGATTTCCATGAGGGGCTTCGAATATGAAACAACACTCAGGTCGTAGTGGAAATTCGGAAACTAAATTGAAAAGATGGAAGTTTGCTGATTTTTACCTATTAAGCAGATTGTGGGAAATTTTAATCAGGATGCCTGAAATGATGTTCTCGGCTCATTTACTTCAATATTGTGTGCCTCATCAGCTTCGACGCATGTCTACATGGCACGAAGACGGTTAGCACAACACACTCAGTTTTCGTCAGCCATTCCGGCAGCTAGATGTCGGGTCAGCCATGAAATCCTATAAATGATGTCCAATGCACCACGAAATATTGCTAATTCATATCGTCCACAGATTGCAGCAGACCTTTGCATGCACTTTAAGGCGGTCAACTCCTTCGCTTAGCAAAGCGAGCCTGCAAGCATTTGTATGAGCTGTTTTGCATTGGGCATGACCAGTGTGCGGGTTGAATATGATTATTTCTTCCCGCGAAAATAAACATGCCTTAAATCAATAACAAAACTTTTGCTTTTCCCATGCGCTGAGCGCAGGTAGGGTGAGAGAGCAGTTTGACAAATTATCGCCTCTTGTGAGTCCGGCGCTAGTTTATAAGTACCGTCAAATCCTGCGCGAAAAAAGCGCCATCAAATGACACCGGAACCACAACGCCTAGATACTCTTCACTAATAAAAAGTGCGAATGCATGTTTTGAGGGTTACGTGTCACTTTTATCCGGTGCCTGTGGAGTCCGAATATATCGAGCTTCTAATGTTAAGTATAATACTGTTTAAAGAAGCTGCTATCTCCTCGATGTGAGGCGCGAGATATGACATCAGACGGCCACGAAGGCTTGCTCCGCGCGTTGAGTGCGCTTTGCCTGCTGCAAGGGCTTAATTATCCCAAACGCACGGATGCACCTTTCCAAATAAAAACACTACCACATTCATTCAGTAACGTAAGTGCAGGCTTTCTTGTGCTACCATAGCATTTCTGTTGAAATTGGTAATTAATTTGCTTGGAAAAATTACATGTTGGAGAGATAAACACATCCTTTCCAATGATAGTGGGAGCTCCGGTGCGGCCGCCCGGGGGTCGCCAGTTTGCCAAGTGGAGAATGACATGAAACGCCGCATGGCCTAACAAGAAGATAAGGCGCGTGGTTTACCGTTCGCCTGAGAAGTAGAATGCTCGTTCCATACCAGCAACAGGATGTCAGTTTGATATGCACTACACCGCGCGTGCTCTGGTTTCCACGCGCAGGCGAGTGATAAATGATCGCAAAGCTCGTGACCGGGCATTTTTTGTCTCGTAGATAAACGATTACTCATCATAATCTGTAGTTTGTTTAGAACGAAGCGGTGCCTGTCTTGGCCGGCGCTCCAAGAACGCTGCCTGCCCTAGCGCTTTTGCCAGGGTGCGTTGTTGGGTCCGTCGGTTGTCGCCACATGTAACACGCGCCCGGGTGGCCGGTTGCATACTCTTCGCTCGTGTGGGGGATCAATATGGTCCCCTAAAATCTTAAAAACTACGGGAGCTAGAGAGACCAAATTCACAGGGTGTGCTGGCCTGTGTGTACACTCACTTTTGTTAGAATTTGAGGTTCCTAGGTCATGGCCTATGTGTCAAAGAAGGTCAAAGAAGGTCAAACTCCAGACTGGTGTCCAAATTGTCTCTGGACCATCTCATGCAACCACTATGGACCTCGATGCCAGCTTCAAGCAAAAGGTCATTGGTGCTGGTCGTATAAGGCAAGTGACCTTTGCGATTTCTCGAAGGTCATGATGAACAAAATTACACAAGAATGCTTTGATTTTGCTTCATTTGAATAAACGTAAAGGATTGCGCTAGGCAGCATGTCTCTTAAAACAAAATGTTGACCTGGGTTGTTTTAGGTCAGGGACCTATCCTGGGCGTTCGAAAGGCTATTGAGGATGCATCTTGCAGTTCCTATCATCCATTAATTCAAAATGTGCGCCAGAAACTACCTCATCCAGGAAGCTCTACAGTGATAAAACAGATTGGCTTTGACCCTCGCCGGGCCTTTATTGCCTAGGAAACTATCACAGATATGTAAGACTTTGTCTAACACCCCATTGTTGTATCAGATTGAACGGTTCCTTAGACATTGTCTTTGCACTGCCATGATCTAAGGTAGCTCGGGGCTCGCGGTCTTCATACGGTAATGTGCACTAATAACGTCCACCACACGAAAAAAGACACGCATCTCGTTTTTCATCCAGGTCAATGGCATGGTATATTGGAGTTCAATCAGCGCGCGGCAAGTTCAGACATAGGGCATCCCGCTGCGCGCCACGCCACGGCCCCACGGCTTCGGTTCAGACTGCAGCGCAGGCGGCGGGATGGCCACGGCCCCGCGGCTTCAGCGGGTTCAGACTGCAGCGCTGGCGGCGGGATGGCCACGGCCCCGCGGCTTCAGCGGGTTCAGACCGCAATGGCTGGCGGCGGGATGGCCACGGCTCCACGGCTTCAGCGGGTTCAGACTGCAGCGCTGGCGGCGGGATGGCGAGCGGACGATGACAGTATGATAGGCAGCAATGGGTCCAGGAGGTACAAAAACAGCCGACTCAAGATCAGGAACGTTAGTGATGATGTGATCAATGCGAGCGTCGGGTGGGCCGCGATGAGCCGGAGCGATAGCAAGCTGAAACAAGGAAAAGTCCGTTAAAACTGACAGATAACGGCGCACACCGGAACCGTCAGGACGCTACACATAGTTACGTTAATGCCACCCACTGAAACAGAAAACAGCCTCTCCGGAGATCACAGCTGCCCGCCACTGATATCATACAGATCGTCTACGGCGACGGCGGCGGCGGGGCAAGGCGACGGTCGATGCATTCTCCACGACGCCGACAGTAGCCGATTGGTAGCCGCCGCCGCTGGTGGCAGCCCATAGCTCCCACAGCGGCCCATAGCTTCATGGGGAGCTATGGGCGGCCACCGGCCTGACGGTCATTGGCCTGACCGTCGCTGTCAGGGACTTGCAATGTACAGTATCGCGACCTCCTGCCCTCCCACATAACGCCGACGGCGGCAGCACGATGACCGTCGCGAGTAAGGACCGGACGATTCCCGCAAAACCCGGCATCCAAGGAAAACCGTAGTTCTGTCCGTGGCAGCAATTGTAAGCAAAAAAATCATGTGTTTCATCAATCAAATAAATCAAATCAAATCAAATTTCAAATCCAATCCAATCCAATCCAATCCAATCCAATCAAATCAAATCAAATCAAATCAAATCAAATCAAATCAAAAAATCAAATCCAATCAAATTTCAAAAATCAAAGTCAATCAGAAAACGCTGGTGTTTCTTCAGCATTTGGTTGGCACAGCTCATGTTTGGAGCTAGCCATCGGACGTAGGCATGCGCGATGCCGAAAGTAGAGAGCGCATCTCCCACACAGGGTCGCTACCGCGAGGTCTGCTTCATCGGCAGGCGAGCGGGCGCAGTCCGGTCTCTCCAGGGCGGGGTGCCGCCAGGCTGCCGTGCAACTGCTGCCCCCGCCGCGACCCCAGCGGTGTCGCCGCTGCTGCACGCGACGCTCGGCTCGAACACCGCACCGTCGCACCCAACCAGTAGGGCTTCCCTCTATCTCGTCCACCGGGCGGACGGCTGCGGCGTCAGCTCGCCATAACGGACCAGGGCCTGGCGACGCCCTGGCCAGCCAGGCCGGCCGCAGTCAAAACAGCAGCTGACCTTGACCCAACACCAGGGCCGGTAGGGATGTCCATGGATGGAAAGTAGCTAGCCGCGCTGATTGGTGGGACGAGAAGGCATGCCTCATCTCGGACCGGTAGAACGCTGAGTTACACAGCGTGGCCGTCTCCATACTGTGGACGCAGACATGCATGGAAAGAGCGACAATCATTCCTTGGTGTCAGGTGACCAGCTCCACAAAAAGTAATAGAACCGGTTTATCACTTTTAACGGAGTATGTCATCTTTTTA